TAAGGAGTTCGTTCGTTGAGTAAACATGATCATTCCTAGAGTAAATTGACAAAGAAACATTCTTTACAAATCAACGGTACCTTTTACACTATGAACGGCAAAGAGTCGTTCGTGAGGTAAATCTCCTCGTTTCTTAGGTAACTTACTCAACGAATGGGGTATTTTACCCCGTGAACGTAGGGGGTTCATTCGTTGAGTAAATGTGATCGTTCCTAAAGTAAATTGACAAATAAACATTCTTTACCAATCCAACGATACCTTTTACACTACGAATGACAAAGAGTTTTTTTGAGGTAAATCTTCTCTTTCCTTAGGTAAATTACTCAACGAACGAGGTATTTTACCTCGTGAACGTAAGGGGTTCGTTCGTTGAGAAAATGTGATCGGTGTTAGAGTAAATTGACAAAGAAATCTTCTTTACCAATCCAACGATACCTTTTACACTACGTTTTGTTGTTCGCGGGGTAAATCGTCTCGTTTGTTAGGTAAATTACTCAACGAACGGGGTATTTTACTTCATGAACGTAAGGGGTTCATTCGTTGAGTAAACGTGATCATTCCTAGGGTAAATTAACAAAGAAACCTTCTTTACCGATCTAACGATACCTTTTTTACCCTAGGACCAAAGTAGTAAAACTGGCAAACTTTAAGAACCAAAAGTGAACTTTTGCCTTCCAAGAATGTATAGGTGTCAAAAATTGAGAGAGCTAACCGAACTAGGGTTTTAGCAAGAATCAAACGGAACGGAACCAAACAAGTGAAAAGACCGCGAAAGAACATGAGCTCCTCCTCCAAGTGTGGCTGCCCCGTCGTCATGGACCTCAACAACACCTTCCGGTTCATGGAATTGGGAGCCTCTTCTTCCTCGTCTAGGGTTCTGAACAGCAGCAGCAACCAGCTCTCGTGCTTCACCTCTGTACGATCCAAATCCCAAAGACCACTGGACCCCTCATGCCGCCTTCATTCCCTTCATCATCCTTCATATCCTTCCTTGGCTTTGCCACTCTGTCGCAGAGATTGTGCCCTAAGAGTAAGAGCCACCATTAAAGAAGATACTAACGTCGTCACCACGGAGGAGAAGGTAAATGGTGATTGTTCTGCTGAAATCGAGCATTCGATTTTGACGGCTTTGTCGCCGTTGGACGGTCGTTATTGGGGTAAAGTCAAGGAATTGGCTCCTTACATGAGTGAATATGGTCTCATCTACTACCGTGTTCTAGTTGAGGTACTGCTTTTATTTATTGCATTTTTTTGTTTGTTTCTATTAGAGCAATTGAGTTTTCTAATCTATTAGAAGCATAACAATTATGTCTTTCAGTATCAAATATCACATTTTTTACAAGTCTTTATTTTTTTGGTTAATTGGGTTCTTTGTGGATTTTTGTTTTTTTTTTTGGTTTTTTTTTTTGGGTGAAGGTGTGATTTATATTTATGAAATGTATGACAGATCAAATGGTTGTTGAAACTTTCACAAATCACTGAAGTCACGGAGGTGCCCGGTTTCAGTGAAGATGCTCACTCTTACTTGCAAGGAATTATTGATGGATTTTGCATCAGTGATGCATTGGAAATCAAGAGGATTGAGAAAATGACAAACCATGATGTAAAAGCGGTGGAGTACTTCTTGAAACAGAAATGCATTTCACATCCAGAAATAGCTAAGGTAGACATTCCCTCGATTAGTTATTTCCTTTGTGTTTGATACAATTCTCTTGATGTCTTTGTTTCTAGTTTTTGAGAATCACTTAATGCTTTCTTATTTCAGGTGCTTGAATTTTTTCATTTTGCTTGCACATCTGAGGACATCAACAATCTTGCTCATGCTTTGATGTTAAAAGGAGCTATCAACAATGTTATATTTCCTGTCATGGATGATTTGATTGAGGCAATATGTGGCATGTCAAAGGATAATGCTTCTGTTCCCATGCTTTCTCGCACACATGGTCAGACAGCCTCACCCACAACTTTGGGGAAGGAAATGGCAATTTTTGCTGTTAGATTAAGCATACAAAGGCACAGAATTTCTGAAGTCGAGATAATGGGGAAGTTTGCTGGTGCTGTAGGAAATTACAATGCTCATCTAGCTGCATATCCTAATATTGATTGGCCCCTAATTGCTGAAGAGTTTGTAATATCTCTTGGAGTGAGTATTAATCATTATGTTACTCAGATCGAGACTCATGATTATATGTCAAAAGTTTTTAATGCATTCAACCGGTTCAATAATATATTGATTGACTTTGATAGTGATATATGGCGCTACATATCTTTGGGTTACTTCAAGCAGACAACTAGGGCGGGTGAAATTGGGTCATCAACAATGCCTCACAAAGTAAACCCTATTGATTTTGAAAATAGTGAAGGTAATCTTGGTGTTGCTAGTGGAAATCTTTCCTACCTGAGTGAGAAGTTGCCTAAATCGCGTTTGCAGCGTGACCTGACTGATTCTACTGTTCTGAGAAACATGGGTGTCGGACTGGGGCACTCTCTTCTTGCTTACAGAAGCACACTGCAGGGAATAGCAAAGCTTCAGGTTAATGAAGCTCGCATAAGTGAGGAGTTGAACCAGTCTTGGGAGGTGCTTGCTGAAGCAATACAAACTGTTATGCGAAGATATAGTGTTCCTGAGCCTTATGAGAAGCTAAAGGAACTAACAAGAGGAAGAACAGTTACCAAAGAAAGAATAAGAGAGTTCATTAAAGGCTTGGAATTACCTGAAGAACCAAAGACCATTTTGTCAAAGCTGACACCGCATAGCTATGTTGGAGCAGCTGTTAAACTGGCCAGGATGGTAGACACGGCTGTTAGAGCCACCAGAAAAAACACCAATGTTTCCACTGAGAAGATCAAGATGGTATCTGGTAAATCTTCTTGTGAATCTGAGCTTGTGAATTTGATGGCTTTGTCACCATTGGATGGGCGGTACTGGGCTAAAGTCAAGGACTTGGCGCCTTACATGAGTGAGTATGGGCTGATCTACTTCCGTGTTCTAGTTGAGATCAAATGGTTACTATGGCTTTCACAAATTCCTGAAGTCACAGAGGTACCTACCTTTAGTGAAAATGCTCGGTCTTATTTGCAAGAAGTGATTAATGGATTTAGTACCAATGATGCATTAGAAATAAAGAAGATTGAGAAAGTAACAAATCATGATGTGAAAGCGGTGGAGTACTTCTTGAAACAAAGATTCCAATCACATCCAGAAATAGCTAAGGTGCTTGAATTTTTTCATTTTGCTTGCACATCCGAGGACATCAACAATCTTGCCCATGCATTAATGCTGAAAGAAGCCATGAACAATGTCATATTTCCTGTCATGGATGATTTGGTTGAGGCAGTATGTGACATGGCTAAAGACAATGCTCATATTTCTATGCTCTCTCGTACTCATGGACAGCCTGCTTCACCCACAACTTTAGGAAAGGAAATGGCAAATTTTGCTGTCAGATTAAGCCGAGAAAGACGAGAGATTTCTCGGGTGGAGATAATGGGAAAATTTGCTGGTGCTGTTGGAAATTACAATGCTCATCTTGTTGCATATCCTGATATCAATTGGCCCCAAATTGCTGAAGAGTTTGTAACATCTCTTGGGTTGAGTTTTAATCCCTATGTTACGCAGATTGAACCTCATGACTATATGGCAGAACTTTTTCATGCAATAAGCCAGTTCAATAACATATTGATTGACTTTGATAGAGATATATGGGACTACATATCTTTGGGTTATTTTAAGCAGATAACTAAGGCTGGTGAGATTGGGTCATCAACAATGCCTCACAAGGTAAACCCTATTGATTTTGAAAACAGTGAAGGCAATCTTGGTGTGGCTAATGGAAATTTTTGTCATCTGAGCATGAAGTTGCCTATTTCGCGTTGGCAACGTGACTTGACAGATTCAACTGTTTTGAGGAACATGGGTCTAGGATTAGGGCACTCTCTCCTTGCCTACAAAAGCATACTTCAGGGAATATCAAAGCTTCAGGTCAATGAAGGTTGCATAAGTGAGGATTTGAACCTTACTTGGGAAGTTCTTGCTGAACCAATACAGACAATTATGCGAAGATATGGTGTTCCTGAGCCCTATGAAAAGTTGAAGGAACTAACCAGAGGAAGAGCAGTTACCAAGGAAAGTATAGTAGATTTTATGCAAGGTTTGGAATTACCTAACGAAGCAAAGTCTAATCTACTAAAGTTAACACCGCATAGTTATGTTGGAGCAGCCGTTGAATTGGCTAGGACGGTAGACAGTGCCGTGAAGGTGTTATGAACCAAGAGTTGATATAGTTGCACAAGGTCTTCCTTTCCTTTTCCTTTGAGACTGCTTTGCACCACAAGGTCCTACACATTTTGACTGCTGTGGGACTAGGAAATAATCAGGTGAAACGTCAGATACGCCAAGGCTGAGGCGCTGCTTTCATTTTAATTGTAGTTGAAAATGTTTGTATTTATATGCTAGGCTGAAAACCCCAGGTTCAAAATTTTGTCCTTGAAGTCTTTAAAGAATGGATGGGGCAATAGGGAAATATGAGAGCTTTTCATCAAGCTCTTTGTCATTTCCAACAGCTCCAGCACTCGGATTTTGGGGGCTAATATTTGGTTATGATGTGTAATAAAAGAACAAAAAAATACATGTTATTTTCAAATTCTGACTTGAAACAAGGTGATGAATAGATAATGAGTTGCAGGCGGCAGCAATAAGATAATTATTTCGCAATGACAATAGTAAACAGGTTCTCATTCACCTCCTGACGCAGTCCATAAGGTTTTCTTCAGTATACAACACAAGCGTGCAAATGCAGCATCGAGGTTAACAGATGACTTAAAAAGTTTACAGGTTACCACTTAGGCTTTTAACATCCTCCAATTCCAAAAGAGGAAAAACGAGAATTTGTCTATTAGAGAGACTTTTTGGCTGCAACCAACCGCTGCATACAAGAATTATCTCACAGCAAACCACTGCAAGAACTTTCCTTCTTGTCATTTTAGTTAAAAATGCAATGCTCCATACAATCCATACAAAAAAAGGAGAATTGCACTTCTCTGAACTACCAAGGAGAATGAAAAACGCAGCCGGAATGAACTAATCCCAAATGTGATACACCAAGAAAAACTCGGTCAGGATACAGGAAATAACAATGCTTTATGTGTGAGTCCAGCTGAAAATAGAATTTCCATACATCAAGGAATCTGCGAAAAGAACTCCTCCAGTTGGCTTTCTGTTATGACCACACCAAGCTTTTTGGTAAAAACTTCATTGGTCATATCAGCTCCTGTACCTGTCACTGCATCTGTAGCACGGATGTCGAAGTAGTCATTCAGGTTGTGAACAGTTCCATCTGCACAAATACAGGAAAGAAGGAAAAAACATTAAATTTCAGTTCTGTTGTGCATTATCACTACCTCGCTTAGCAAAACTATTTGACAGGGAGAGGAAGAGAAGAAATTATAGTTGTTATTAAGTGACTGTTCTATCTCATAAGGGAATTTAAATAAAAATGATTTTATCTTTCATTATAAACAGAACTTATAACACTCTGACCACACGAAGCATGAGCTTCTCATTAAGTTATGCATTTTCCAGCTATTAGTAGTAGAAATCTGACCAAAACTCAAGAATGGAAGTTCCAAATATATATTCTAATAATATGATCCTAAACTCAAGAATCAGATATTTTAAATGACGCATAGTTTCATCTAAAAGACATAAAGCAGAAAATGCAAGGCGTTAGAGGCTTACGAATTCAAACGACGCATTATTTTGCTTGTTTGTTTATTGGAAATTAAAATTTGTTAGAAGTGGTATGCTCCAATCTAGTTGTTCTGATTGTTAATGATTTTACCATCACCAAACTTCATAAAAATGTAAGATGAATTTAACATTTACCCTCCGCAACAATGGGCTGGTAGAGGGGAGGTTGATGTAGCCAATTGCCAACAGAATCTTTCATGTGTCTCCTATCAGATGCAAAGCAACGGAGAAACACGGGGGCATGCACAATCCGGAAATACCTGCACCACCACATAAAGAATGTCGTAAATAATGTTTACTGATCACATATTCAGCATGTTAAATTTCCAGACTCTGAGCCAGGCACAGACTGAGCCAAAAACATACAATACAAGTGATGAAATACCTTTGGAATTCAGAAAAGGTCTGAAAGTCGGGGCGGATAGTTTCGGAGACATAGCGTGCTAAGGGGCAAGGAAATGGAAGACTTGAATCTAAATCCCACACCAAGTGTGGGGAGGGTGAGTCACCTCTGCCTTTTCTCTGTATGCAAATGACATGATAATCCCAGAGAACAACCCCATCTGCTCGGCTGCTGGCCTTCTGATGCCACAATGGGATCTTCACCATTTTTTAATTTTGCATCACAGCAAACAAATAGTAAATTCATTAAAAGGGAAACTGTAGCATCTAATAAAATGACAACATATATAAATTTTAAAAACAAATAAATCAATTAAGTCACTTGGGTACAAGGGCACATGCCTGTTTTTTCTCATTGGAAATGAAAACAACATAAAGATCAGAACTTTGGGCATCTGCTATGCCCTTTGTGCCCAGTTCCTTGCAAAGCAAGTACACATTCTCCTCACTTCATAAACACACACAAGAAAGAAAAAGGTAATTAATTTTTCTACCTACCAGATTATTAGCACAAGCAAGCAGAGAAACACAAAACAAAACAAAACAAAACCAAGGCTTACCAGTAATAAGGGGTGTGTTGAAATTGAGAGACGTCCCACGAGCTGCCGCTTACTTCCAACTCTGACGTCGTCATCTCTCTCTCTCTCTCTGCCGCTCTCTCTCTCTCTGTCAGCTGACCTCTCTCTTCCAAATTTGATCAGATTTTTTAACTACCACCCACCCAACCCAACAACGACATGTCGTTTATGAACCCAACAATATATAAACCCAAAACGCTACCGTTTAACCTTTCTTCTATAAAGCAAGCGAGCTCCTCATAGGTCCATAATTTAACATTGACATGGAATGATGGAACCAGAAGAAGACATCCACATCTCCGACAGCGCCGCCGCCGATCCACCGCCGCGTGGGCCCAGGCCCATATGCAGCAACTGCACCCGGCCCGGCCCGGTCTGCCTCTGCCACTCTCTCCCGGCCCAGCCCATCAAAACCCAGACCCAAATCATAATCCTCCACCACCCCCACGAAGCCAATCACAAGCTCTCCACAACCCCAATCCTCACCAAATGCCTCTCCAACTCAACCGTCATTGTTGCGCGCAAGCTCAAGCCAGGCCTCTCCCCGCTCCTTGACCAATTACCGCCCGCCATCTACCTCTTCCCCCCAAACAAAGCCTCACCCGCCGTCAGCCTATCAGACCTCCCCAGCTCACCCGTCTCCAAACACTCCCCTCTGGTGCTCATCGCCTTCGACGCCACGTGGAAGCATGCCAGGGAGATGGTCAAAGCCAGCGAGGGGTTTTTGTCGACGTTTGCGAGCAGGGTTTGTTTGGATGTGGATGAGAATGTGAGTGGTGGGAGCATTTACGACTCGGAGTTAGTTTTGCGGAAAGAGCCGTTTGGTGGGGGCGTGAGTACCATGGAGGCTGTGGCCAGGGCCTTGGGGGTGATTGAGCCCAATGGGGTCGAGATTGAGGCCAGGCTTATTAGGGTTTTGAGGGACATGGTGGCTTCGCAGGCTCGGTATCTTAAGACGCCCGTGAAGCCCAGGCCCAAGTTGTTGAAGAAAGGCAAGGAGAAACAGCAGCTCAAGGATGAGAGTGAGAGTGTGAGGGAGATTGATCGGATATCGGGTCACGGGCAACTTTAGGCCCGCACCCGAGTTGGGACCCGCCACTCTTTTGTAAAAGTGTTTTCTTATTCGAACCATCCCAATTTTTGGTACCCTATTTTTTTTTTTCTTGAACTGAAAATCTATTGGATCAAAGAAAACTTGCAATTAAAAAAACCCTAATGTCGGTTTCTTTTTGCATTTTTTGTGTCCGACTGTGCACCGACCAAACCGTCCTTGTGGAATCTTCCATAATATATCCTCTTCATTGCTTATCATGTGGACAACTCTTCTTGTGAGCAATTAAAAAGGCATATAAATTGCAAAATGGAAATCAAAGAAATACTTAAATATTGAAGTAGGTTAGCCAATTAGGCGTGTCAAAGTTTATTGTATTCTTTTTCTAGAAAAAAGAAACAACATTGATTGCTTTTTAAAAATAAATAAAAAACTGAAACACATCACAAATGAGGGCACCTTCTACAGTGCACCAGGTGCACCCATGCACCATTTGTCATTTATGATGCTCCCAAATTTAAAAAAAAATTGGTTACCGGTTATACAAGTTATCAAGTTTCCACTTTTTGAAAATGCAATTGCATAAGGGTCATGCAATTATGCCCTTCCTGTTTGGCAATTGACATATGATTGGATAGTGATTTACAGTAGTTTGGATATGAGAATACCATAACATTGTAAGAGGATCCTAAAACTTATAAGTTATAAGATTTGGGTAGCGGTTTACAAATTTTTGAACCATGATTACAACATTAGGGTTCACTTAATCCATAATGTTGTAAATACTCATTTACAAGGATATGGATCCACATTACAAGGAATTGGTAACTCCGGACCATGAGGATGTAAATTGGGTCCTTATTCTAATAAAATAAGGGTTTACAAGATTAAGGGCTGATTTTACAATTTTGGGATACGAGGGTACCAAAACATTGTAAAAAGAATCCCTAAACTTGTAACTTATAAGTTTTTGGTAACAATTTACAGGGTTTTCCTCATGGATTACAACGTTAGGGTTCACCAAATTCATAATGTTGTAAATCATATATTTACAAAAATATAGATCCATATTACAAATGATTGGTAATAGTGGACATTAGGGATGTAAATTGGGTCCTTATTCTAGTAAACAATGGTTAAGGATGGATTTTACAATCTTATGGAACATAAATGTCTAAAATAGAGTAATACGAGACCTTAATATTGTAAATATTTGTGTTTACAAGTATAATGACCTAATTTACTTTCCTAAGGTCCCTAGTTACCTTAATATTGTACTAGACGTCTTTATCCTTGTAAATTACGATATTACAAGATTACGGATGAGTTTTACAATCTTCAGGAACATAACTATCCATAAAAGAGTAATACAAGACCTTAGTATTGTAAACATCCGAGTTTACAAGTATAAGGACCCAATTTACCATCCGAATGTTCCCATTTACCCTAATATTGTACTACATGTCTTTATCTTTGTAAATTACGATATTACAAGATTAAGGATGAGTTTTACAATCTCATGGAACATAACTATCCAAAATAGAGTAATACGAGACCTTAATATTGTAAACATCCATGTTTACAATACTAAGGACCCAATTTACCTTCCGAATGCTCCCCTTGACCCTAATATTGTATTACATGTCTTTATCTTTGTAAATTACGATATTACAAGATTAAGGATGAGTTTTACAATCTCATGGAACATAACTATCCAAAATAGAGTAATACGAGACCTTAATATTGTAAACATCCATGTTTACAATACTAAGGACCCAATTTACCTTCCGAATGCTCCCCTTGACCCTAATATTGTATTACATGTCTTTATCTTTGTAAATTACGATATTACAAGATTAAGGATGAGTTTTACAATCTCATGGAACATAACTATCCAAAATAGAGTAATACGAGACCTTAATATTGTAAACATCCATGTTTACAATACTAAGGACCCAATTTACCTTCCGAATGCTCCCCTTGACCCTAATATTGTATTACATGTCTTTATCTTTGTAAATTACGATATTACAAGATTAAGGATGAGTTTTACAATCTCATGGAACATAACTATCCAAAATAGAGTAATACGAGACCTTAATATTGTAAACATCCATGTTTACAATACTAAGGACCCAATTTACCTTCCGAATGCTCCCCTTGACCCTAATATTGTATTACATGTCTTTATCTTTGTAAATTACGATATTACAAGATTAAGGATGCATTTTACAATCACATGGAACATAACTGTCCAAAA